TTAAAATGAAGCTGAATTAAAATAGACGGAGATGCTGGTGTTTGTCGGAGGACAGGTCATGGTCTATTTTGAGAATGGTATGAAATGAGGGAACGAGATCATAGTCTTGTAAATAAATAGGAGGCTTTCAGTCATGTCTCTGCTCGTTACTTTAAGATTTTCATTTGTATCTAGCTCTGAGTTCAGTTTGAATAAAACGCCCCTTTAAGACCGTCAAAGAAAGCAACTGTGAATCCTCATTTAAGTGAGGACTCTGTTACTCAATCTCGGCTCTGCAGACTCTTCAGTGAGAGATGGAGGTTCGTAGGGGGCACCACTGACAGGTGTTAAATATAGTCCCCCATTGTTCGGCAGAAATTATATGGTTTGAGCGCTTGTATCACGGTCGCTCGCTCTATTTGCATCAAGGCCGGCCATATCTCCGCAAATTTCTGCGTCGTAATCATCCGCATTTGTATTGGTGCCTACGCCAGGCCAGTTGATTATGGCTCTATGGTAAGTTTATGGATCATAGAGGAATACTGGAATTGTATAGGGAGGTGAAGGATATATGCCGAACAACGAAGCAGTTGAATAGAGCTTAAGGGTGAAGCTTGGTAGGGTGACATGAAGAGGGTATGAATAGACCTTCAGAGATATTCAGTAAATGTAATGAACTGAAGATTTCTGAAGGAGAAGAACACTACATATATAAACAGGAATTAGTCCTACTGAGACCAATTTAGAAATAAGCCAGGATATGCGCCCATGTCCCAGTATGGCGACGTTATTATGGTGAAGGTGAGGTTCCGAGCGCGCAATGTATACTTAGTATACAATGGGTGTGGGTGTAAGATTGGGGTAATATCACGTTGTGTCTCGTGGCTCCTAACTACAACGGATCTTGTGTAGAGCTTGAGACAAATACATGAATTCTTGTTATAAAAAAGTGAAGGATAACTCTTGCAACTTTTGTTGGAAGGGAAAACAGACTGTTCAACACCTACTTCTTTATTATAGTAAGTTTAAGACTGAAAGAAAGGAAGCTTTTACAGGTATATTGCCATTAAGATTAGAGATATTGTTTAATACAAAAATTGGAAAAGAAGCAAATCTCCACTTCCTGCAAAGCAGTGGATGCATGAATGCATCCAAAGCTGACTGAAAGGGAGGAGACTAGAAGATAAGTAAAAGAAATTGGGACTAAATATTTGTATTTATATATAAAATAATCAGATGTGTCATAGCTAGATAGCTGAATACACTATGATTTAAAAAAAAGAATTCTTGTTGAAAATATACTCTGTGTGATATTATATTGATAAATATGATGAAGTAAAGTAGACTTGAAGATTTACAAATATGGGAACATTGGACTTATATATACATCTTAGGGGAGAAATTCCCACTAGTCTCATGTGCCTATCAAGCCTAGTGATGACCAGCCACCTCTCATCTACCATGATGATCCAAGGTACACTGTAGTACGTAAATATCCAATTGTAAATGCAACAGTAGGCGCGATTAGCGCACTCGTGACATGTGTAGAGAGAGTCGATATTGTCGGGAACCTGAGACGAAACAGGTAGTGGTTGAGTCCTAAATTCGAGAGTCAGAATTTCCAACAATTCTATCTCCTTCAAGTGTCGGATGTCTATGTGTCTATATACATTGATTACTCCTTACTCCTCAACGCTAGTAGATCTACTACTGTGGTCGCAGGCTGTGACTGCGGGCTCTGACTGAGCGATTTGCTGTGCGTGAGGTCATAGGATAATTACAATTACGTGTGTGTGCCGTGTTTCCTACATCTAGCTAATTCGTACCCTGTAGATTTATCCGGGATCCACAAAGGTATGTCTTGACCACCAGTTGACCCCCAAGCTAGCTGAGTTTAAGACAGAATCATGCATATACCATAATTTCCAACATACAGTCAAACCCCTGTTAAGACGATGTAATTGGGGCCGTGAAAAATATCGTCTCATAGGGGATATTGTTATATAGGATTTGATTACCTAATCTATCTATAGTCATACCCCTGTTAATATGACGTAATCGGGGCCGTGAAAAATATTGTCAGACAGAGAATATTGTTGCTCAACAGAAATTCCCTTTTTTGGCGGCAATTGTAGCCCCAATATAGCAAAAAACCCTGGTTAAGACAATATTCAGAGGTTGAAGAACGATAATTGTGTAATTGGTAAATGTTTGGGAACAAAGTCCGTTCCGGAAAAATATTGTCTTAACGAGGATTGTCTTAACAGGGGTCTGACTGTATCTTGTGTTAAGTGCCAAGACTAATTAATATTACAGAAAATAGATGTGGCGCAGTATTAAATGATACAAATGACAGAAACGAAAACGAGATAGTACATGACTTGTGTAACAGATGCAGGACTGTTAGATTTACAACAGGCTCCTGTACTCCATTGTTATGAAGCGTTTGAAGTAGGTAGTGGACAGGTCTCTATTACGTATCCCAATGACTCCCAACTTTTGAGAAAGATATTTGCCCTTCTTATTGAAAGCAGATCTTAGCAGTAAACCCAAATTTCACCATTAATGCTTGGCTTCTGGAACTCATGCCGATGTACCGGAGGTTGAAGGGCTAGAACACTATAAGCTTTTAAATTTTCATCTCCTCTCTTACAATATGTTAAGAATATAAAAGAAATAGGATAGAAATCTTAATCCATAAACTATTGACAATGTGATAGCGTATGGATTAGGTAAGGCCCTAACTAAAGGCAGGGCAATTTTATGGGGGGGTTTGAAAGGATTCTCCTTCCCATCCTAACTTTATTTTATAATTTTACCCTTCTTCTGATGTTGCTATGACAACAGAACAGTTCTTGGCACTGGTTATTATGTTGGTACTAGTTTAGGGCCTATGTTATGATGAGCTAGTGGGAGGAAAGCAAGTATATGTATGATGGCTTGGTCTGTAGCTATAGAGTTCTTCACGCTTAGTCTTCTGTCACAACCACCACCTTCGGATCACCTATAGTCACCTCTAGTTACCTTTAGTCACCATTAGTATTTACTCGTACCTCTAGAATCTTTAGACACCTATATTACCCATTTTTGAATCTTTAGTTCTCCAAATTATCTTCAGTAGATCTTTAGTCATCCCTCGCAATCCATCCGACCTCTTCTCGCCCTTCTATTCCGCTTCAGGTCAAACGCCTATGCTCCAATTTTGTAGGGTCTTTTTTTGCATCAGATTTTAATTGCGTATGCAGCTATCTAGCCATGACACAACATCAAAGAAAAGTAGAGAAAAGATGACTCAATTTAAAATTAGAGCACTCATGCCCCGGATCTTATTTGCAGGTGCCACTGCGTAGTTATGGCGGCTTTTTCTTCACCCCAAGTCAACCTTCATCCGTGAATACCTACTCAAGGGAACGTCTCGAAAACCCTGAGTTATCCAGACATGCCTCCATCACCCATTATCTTTCCTCGGCACGAAATGTGATCTTAGACGTCTCCTTATCAAGTGGAGTAGGTGCCCAGGCTTCTCAAACTATACCAGAGAACACCACCAGGAGGTGGACCACAACACCTTCCATCGCCGGCTCGAAAGCTCAATTTGTAAAACTCCTTGGCAAGATTCCAAAATTCACGCCTTTCGAAGGTATATCTCTCTTTTGCATCATCTTGTGAACTTGTCCTGATCCCTCTCGCCATTATATGGTTGTAATCTACAGAGATGATATTATGGGTGGCCAAATGAAATAGTATCCATACATGAAAACGGATTAGAGTTGATCCTAGTGTCCGTATATGCCACGACAAATAATTAGTCGCGAGGCCCATTTTCCAGACGACTGTTGCGTTAATCATTTAGATCTGATAGGTTGACTAGGTGAAAGCGATGATCGAATGTTGCTTGTACCTATTGTGTGTTCTGGCTGGTCAGTTTATGATCAAAAATGATATCACATGGGTGTCTCGAGGCTCTGAAGTGCAGAAAGTCTAAGATTCAAGTAGTACAACAAACAACATCACTCACTCACTCACTCGTGGCTCCGACTAATCGACGTTAAGTGTGAGTAGAGCTTGAGACTAAAGATGTGTGATTGATTATTCTATAATCCAGCACCCCGAACGTATTTAAATCTCCTCCGCATCACGTATGCCAAGCAACAGCGCACGATGTGTATGGTCGAGCTTCCATCAATTAGGACCAGCAAAATTTAAAACAATTAGATCCTTATTGGTAGACTGGATTGTAAAAATACTTCTGTCCAAGGCGCACCAGACATGGAAACTACACCATATTTTTTAGATGACTTTAAGTATTTCCAGCTATCTAGTTATGACACATGATCGGTGTTATCTGTACGTGTGGGATGATTCCTTTAACGTTAGAGATACTCATACTCTGGGTCCCATTATCAAATATTGCTACAATGTATGATTGCTTCCGCGGGAAAGTCAGGCCTCCTCTGTGATTTCCCACTATAGGCAAGCTATAAAAGCTTCACCTTCTATGCGCACTATGATGACAAAAAATGTGGTAAGGCTTCGTGGCCTTGAGCCGGCGATTTCCGGTCACCAGCAGGATATGTGTCTATGTTATTTAGAATCTACTTAGGGGACTGGCGAGATGATGTACCACTGCACCATCCAACCATGGCAGTATCTATAGTGTGGCCTGCATTGACCACGCCACAATATCTTACAACTACATATACATAATTAACTGTTAACAACAACGACCATCAGCTGTAGATGGTGAGCGGATATTTATGGTCTAAGTTGTTAGAAAGATGTGGAAAGACTTAATCTAAATGGTCAAATCAACGCAATCGATTACTTATAATCGCCTTAATCTAGAATTGGTCCGTTGAGGTTGCCAAGCTGCACCTCGGCTTAAAAGGAACCAAGAGCTTCTGTGTTCTGAATTCACCAAGAAGTAATTTTGGTTTCTGTACTTCATCTCACCAATTTTGCAAATATCAGCATTTTACGGCGCGATATTCTGTAAAGCAAAAACCACAGGCCATTCGACGATGAAGCTCTTCACCATCAGCGGCGCTACCACGCTCTTTTGCATTCTAGCAATAGTCACAGCAATGTCAGATTACCAGGACCCGGCACTTTCACCAGTGCCCGATCAGAATAGTGACTTCATATTTAATTGTCCAAGTGGGCAAACGTACGTCAAAGATTATCTCATGAGAGTAGTTCGGGGCGCCAGACAAATTATGAGTAACCCTCACTTACACAAAAGTTATCCTTATCATTTCAATGACATTCTGTACAACATCGACGGACAACAGTGGTGTTATCCTCTTTTTGGTAATGATTTAATTCATGGAATTTAGTTACTTTCCCAGATTCTTGAAGTTAACCTATGAATACAATATTTTAGTTGTCTTTGACTCACGAGATTATGTCGTGTTCAACACAAACAATGAAATAGCGGGCGTAGCTCACCGCATGACCTTCAATCGTGAAGAAGACGAATTCGAAGCCTGTCATTTTATATAAGTAATTATCTCCCAACATATCCTCCTGAAATCTATTGATATAACTAATAATTTTGATTAGAGCTATGAGAGGAGGGGTGATGTCAAATTCCGATGTGTTTATGTTAGGATATTGAAAAAGTAGAGTCATCGGGGTGATTATACTGGTACATATTAAACAGTTTTAAGAAAATAAATGGTATGATGTACTAATACAGAACAATGTATACAACTAAATTTCAAAAGGTGTGAGGAGACTTCAATCAGGAAAAAGCTGACTGAGTATGATTTCCTGATAGTACGAAGACCTTTCAAACAAGTTGATAACCCCCGTCCAAAGATGCACACTCGGCAGGCCTGAGGAAGGCATCGCTTTCATGAGGTTACTTGACGAGATCCAAAGCTGTAGTGAAAGCTGTTATTTATATTAATGACGGTATCCAATGCGTGCATCCCAAATGTTGTGGACAATGATATATGGGCAATCACGTATATAATTACCGATTCCTATGGCCCATGATAGACTGTGCGATTGAAGATAGTTGAAGCTATGCATAGTCGATCTGTAAAAGAGACTTATGAGGGCAAAGACTGTATACCTTTCCGCGGGTTATCTATGAACCTGATATTAGAATAAATCCCCAGGGCCACGTTGAGTCAAATTTTGAAATACCGAGGAAGTTGACCCACGAGGCAATGATTCAATAACCTATGATATATTAATCTCTCTATCCCAAACAGATCAATTTCCACTAAAGCATCACCCAGTCTGAAAGTGCGACCTAGTACATACTCATTCCAGTGACCACACCTCTTATTGACTCATTCTCTGGTATCAGCTGGCCACCAAATACACGACCATAATATTATGACTAACCAGGGAGGATAACAAGTTGTAGGATACAAATCTGGGAGGCAAGTTCTTGGGATGAACATGGGAGACGTCAGGGAAAGTGGAAATGTTATGGTTATACGTTATGGAGTATAATTGTGATTCTTGAGGTGACGTGCTGGCTATAGCACGTGTGTGGGTTCGAAGAGACGCAATGAGTAACTCACGCAATAAATGTAGGAAGATTATATAAGAGTACGTTAGTATATGAATGCAGGTGAGTGTAATAGTCCTAATGACAGGTGTGTGTGTGAACTATGTTTCCTACTAACTACGTACTGAGGAAGAATAATACATTCTGCACTACGGGGCTGGATGGTGCAGTGGTACACCATCCGTGCCGTCCTCCCAAGTAGATACTGGGTAGCTTGAACTCTTACCCCATTCGAGATAGGAGACAGCTGGTTCGAATCCAGTAAAACCCACACACCACTCTCTCTTGTAGTGACACATACTCGTGGGAGGATAAAAGCACACTCGGATAGCCACAGGTTTTTCACACTTTTCCCTGTGGTCGGTATGCACGGAAGAGGTTATATGCCGTAAGGGTTAACCTCGAGTGATATCTGCAAATGAAATCTGAGTGTGAGTGTTCTAAATGTCAAATTGAGTCGTTCTACTTAAAGTACATATTTTCCGATAAAAACCTGCATGGGCCTCAAGGCGTGTTAAGGTTATGAGTTAATTGGGAACATAGTTATGTTGAAATGTGTCACGATGTTTGTTCAGATGGTTTGATACTTGGTGACTTGATTGCTCGCAGGTGTCTGATACTTTTCCGATAATGTACATGAGACAGAACATAGACTACTTATATACTCTAATATGACCCTTGTCATTGTCTACGCTCTCTCTCCTGACTTACTGCTAACAGCGTGCCTGGGTAAAACTCTGCAGCTCATGAGTCCATCTCTCATGAGAGGCATCCGCTGTTCCGGTGGCTGGCGCGCGCGGTTCGAGTACGCGTCGCTGCAATGCCTCAATCACTTACATGTAATATCCCAGCTGAGCAATCCTGAACCTAGCTGTTCAGGAACGACAGCAATCCAGTCCATGGTCTGTGCCTGTGGTTTGTATACACACCACAGCGTCGCTCCAATCGTTCCCATACAATGTCTCAGCTCCGCAGTCCTTAGTCCATTACTCAGGAGCGGAAGCAGTTGTATAGTTCTGATAGTGCGCTAGGTCTGCATGTACCTCTGAGCGCTATCCCGTAATTGCCCGGCAATACCTAACCGCTCACGGCTAGCGTGTGTGATCAATAGACTCATCACGACGCTGCCCCAATCATTGCCCTGCAATGAATCAGCCTGGCGCTCATGAGTCCACTACTCAGGAGCGGAAGCAGTTGTATGGTTCCGGTAGCGTGCGAGGTCTGCATATACCTCAGGGCGCTATTCCGTAATTGTCCGGCAATATCTAACCGCTTATGGCTAGCGCACGTGGTCAGTAGACCCTTCACGTCGCTACCCTAATTGTTGCCTTGCAATGACTCAACCCGGTGCTCCCAAGTCCGAGACTCAGGAGCGGCAGCGGTTGTATCCATGGTCAACGCACGATGTGCATATGCACCTGTCGGCGCAGAGCCGGTCATTGACGAGCGAAAGTACAACAAGGCGCCATATCAGGTAAAAAGAACTATATAGATATATTCTGCACTACGGTGTTCGAGCCAGTCTCTCAGTGCTCTTTCTTTATAATGTTAAGCCCAACATTCTCATGCATACCCTTGAGTGTCCACAGTAAGTCTAGTATGCTACCATATCATGACAGGAAAACATGTTGTAGACAAATGATGCAGTCTCGAAAAGGGTTGTATTTTGAATTATGGTAAGAGTTTGACAAATCGAAGACCATTGTGCGCGCCAAGCTTTAGATGGCGGGGATTTTGGCGATACCATAGACACCGCCATGGCTGAATGGTGCGCCAGTTTATATTCCGGGCCAGTCGCCCAAGTAGTTTCTGAAAAACATAGACACATATCCCGCTGGTGACCGAAAATCGTCGGCTCAAGGCCACGAAGCCTCACCACACATCTCATCGTGTTGGTATGCAAATACGGTGAAGCTTTTGAAGCTTTCCTTTCGTGGGAGATCACAGAGGAGGCTTGACATTTAGTACACTCACACTCAGATTTCATTTGTAGAAACCACTCGATGTTAACCCTTACGGCGTATAACCTCTTCTGTGTATACCTATCACAGGGAAAAGCATGAAAATCTTATGGTTATCCGAGTATGCTTTCATCATCCCACAAGTACAATATCACCGCGAGAAAGAGTGGTGTGTTCGTTTTACTGGATTCGAACCAGCTTTCTCCTATCTCAAATGGGGTAGGTGTCATGGTTCATATCATGACTCTCCATAAAATGGTGAAAGCATGCCTAAGCAGCGCTAGTATAGGAATAACGCCAGAACTGAAAAGGTTTAAACCGACGTGCACTTGGGGCGTTAATTGCGGCTCGTTCCGGGCACGGAGATTTCGCCCAATATCATCGTCGCTTCGCACACGAAGATGTCCTAATGACTTGCTCCTGTGGCGAGGAAAAAAGCCCAGATCACTTCTTCTACTGCAGTATAGGAAGAAACTGTGCCCGTCTTTGCGGTGGACCTCGACACCCCACCCTGGCATCAGATGGGTACTAGGCACGCCCGAGGGCGCCCTTGCCTTCGGAAAATGGGTCGAGCTCACGAAGTTCTACGACGAAATCCAAAGAGCCCATGGGATATTCCTTCACGATCTGGTATGGGGTTAATATTAGATGGAAGGATTTATTCTTACTTTCTTGTTCTGCAGGTATAATTTAAAATTAATTGTTAAAAAAAAAGAGTGACATTCCTGGTAGAAGGAAATTTGCTACATCTAAATTGGAAAGCAGAGTGGCGGACAGCTGTTTGTTTGTTTTTTTTATATTTTTTTTATAGTTACTTTTGGTCCTAAGCTAAAGCTATCTTTTCCACATTGGGTCAAGGACCGGTGGATCCGGCAGGGCTCCCTGTAATCTTTCCCACAGCCTAACTCGTTCCAACCTCGTTGTAAGAATTCTCCTTTCCATCCTATCTTTTGTTTACAATTTTACTCTTCTCCTGGTGTTGCTATGAAAACAGTACATCTCTTGGCAATTGGTATTATGTTGATACTAGTTTATGGCCTATGTTGTGATAAGCTAGTGGAAGGAGTGCAGGTATATGTATGATGGCTTGGACTGCAGAAACAGAGTTCTATTTGCTTAGTTTTCTGTCACAACCACCAACCTCGGATTACCTCAGATTACCTCTAGTCAGCTCTTGTACCTTTAGTTACCATTAGTACACACTCGAACCTTTCGACCTTTTAGCTAGTTATATTACCCATCTTTCAAACCTTTTGTTCCTCCAAGTTATCTCCGGTAGACCCTCAGTCATCTCTTGCAATACATCCGGCCTCTTCTAGCCCTCCAATTCCACTCTATTTCAAACGCCTACGCTCCAATCTGAAACTCGAGAATCGCTACCAAAAGTGCAGCTGATTAAACAGAAACGAAAAATCAGGAAAATCAAAACAACTCCGAAAACCAGAAGATTCCTCCATATTGGACCCGAGCAATGTGCTCCTCACACATTCCCTTGTCTGTCACACCTTCCAAATGACAAAATTTATTCATTCTCCGCTGAGAGCAAAAGATGAGTTAGCAGGCACCTTTGATCCAGCCGGTATCCTACTATTGGTTAGTAGATGCCTCGAAAGGGGACATCGTCTAGGTTTCTGTGTCCTCAAACTTCTTCTTCAGCTTCCAGGGCTCCCAAACCTGCTGCCTCGGCCATCGAGACATCCTTCGCTTCGGCGACAATCGCCTCTTTGTGTTATAATCTGCCAAGAGATCCTAGATCTGTGCAGATTTATGCATGCCAATATTTCATGCAAGTCCAAGGACATAGACTTGAGGGCAACCCATGATTAGGGCAGCATAGATTTGTAATAGAATGGTATGGGATCGAATAGCATGGAATAGAATGATGAGGGATCAAATAGTATAGAGTAGAATGGAATGGAATGTAACGGATAGTGTAGGAACTGTGATATGGCTATCCAGGACATGTATATTATGAGATGTATCTCCTAGAAGTTGGAGCAAGAATAAGTCATCTG